TCTCTGTCTCTGTCTCTGTCTGTCCGCTGTCTCGATAGACAGACACGTAGATATATACAGACAGGTAGACAGATAGATAGAACATGAGACAGAAGGGTAGGAAATTAGATCTGTGGGTACCTAGATAGAAAGATAGGTAGATAGCTGGGCAGCTAGCTAGATGGATTGAGAGAGAGAGAGAGAGAGAGAGAGAGAGAGAGAGTGTGTGTGTGTGGGGTCTTCCCCCTACACCATAGCCCTGGAGAAAGAAAGAGAGAGTCAGCCAGTGCGCTTACTGGCTTCTGAATGTAACTATTCTTGTTTTGCCAACCTGTCATTTCGAAATCCATAGGCGACTGCCGATGAACTGTGGCAACGTCACTTCAGCCAGTAGTCGTCGAACTACCCTGAGCCGTCAGGCAGTTGGGTTGGGCCTTGTGTTCGATTTTCTGGCCTCTCTTTCGATGATGACACCTTAGCCGTAATTCTTCGAGCCGGCGGTTGCACGGCCTGGCTAGGCGCTGAGTGATTCTGACATTGCCAGCTGGCAGAAGATTCATTGACCTGCAGCTGCAACTGGTCAAAGGAGCCTCTACCAGTCAGAACACACGAGTGTACAGCAATGGCACCAAACCCGCTGGTGTACTTTGAGATTGCGTTTGACAACCAGCCGGTCGGGAAGATTGTGTTCGAGTTGTATGCCCATGTCGTGCCCAAAACAGCAGAGAACTTCCGAGCACTCTGCACTGGTGAAATGGGTAAAGGGAAATCGGGAAAGCGATTGAACTTCCTTGGATGCGTTTTCCACCGCATCATTCCCGGTTTCATGTGTCAAGGCGGCGATTTCACCCGTGGGGATGGCACTGGAGGGGAATCAATATATGGTGCTAAGTTCAAGGATGAGAACTTCCAGATGAGACACACGGAGAAAGGTCTCCTTTCAATGGCCAACTCGGGCCCCAACACAAACGGCTCCCAGTTCTTTATCACCGTGAAAGCAACGCCTCACCTTGACGGCAAGCACGTGGTTTTCGGCAAGGCCCGGGAAGCTCGTCTCCATCTCGTCCGGACGGTGTCTGCTTCACATACTGCCCAGGTCATCTCAGGCTACGACGTGGTGCAGAGGATGGAGAAATGCGGCACAAGCAGCGGCAAGACCACAAAGAAGGCGCGGCATGCCAACATGCCAGATTCTTGTGCAGGGCATGAGCGCTAGTAGGTCCAAGGGTTGAATGATCAAATGAGTTGCGGCAAGCTGCTGGAAGTGGCATGCTGGGCTTCGCACAACTTTCGGTTTCGGGAGTTCACGCTGGTGGCAGCAGACTTGGCGGGGCAAACAGGGATGAGGAAGGGGAGGGCAAGAACAGCAGAGTAGTATGCGGACCTGCCTTATGATTCGAACACATCTTTTCAGTTGGGACTGCGCGCATGCTCGGTGTGGCACTTGCGGGTGGGCACTCCGGGGTTTGGTCTGGGGAAATTTTGGAGGGGCCGGCCTAGTTATGGAAACTGGAGGCGAACTTGAGATGCTCGATAGGGAGCTCTTGCCGGAAACCTGGGATAGTCCGCGGATGGGCGAGGATCACCAGAAGAGACTGCGAGGAGAAGGGGTGCCTCAAAACCTAACAAGCCCACTGCACGCACCGACGGTGGGGAACAACTTTCCGAGCAGATGGGCCAGAGACTGGACTAATTACTTGGCCTTGACACGAGCCCACCACCAAGGCGGTCTTCAACAATCCCACATTCATAAAGGGCCAACACTGTAACACCCGTCCCCACAGATGCTAAGTTCAACATACGACCCATGAGTCCACCAGGTGCCCGGGGTTTATGGCGGGGGATTGGGACAGAATCCCTGTGCTTGTGCAGGTCACCATCCACTCCTGCGGAGAGGAGACTCGAGTGGGAGCTAGTGCAGCAAGTCTTGTGCTCTGCGCGAAGGAGGTGATTGACGACGCCCCGAAACCGCCTGCAAAGAAGCAGAAGATGCTTGCAGAAGGCGAGGTCCAGGCACGGCGACTGAAACTGAGACAGTCAAGGCAGAGTCGTGGAGTCGCGTGGTTTAAGGTGCTCCACATTATCCGGAAGCACAAAGGCTCCAGACGACCATCCTCCTGGCGACAGGAAACCATCACTTGCTCAAAAGAGGAGGCACTTGGCCTGCACGACACGTAGTTTTCTTCGGGGAGCAGCCCGGTTCAATTGAAGAAGATGGAGCCTGTAGGACCACGGATCCCAAACAGAATGTAGGGTTCTGGGCAATGTGCGTGTCGTCAGGCCGGACAGTTCTTGGCCGATCTGCGGCGGAAGCTCCAAGGCTTTTGGGCTCTGAGGCTTGGATGCCCATCCTTGATGTCAGCTCTGAGGCTTGGATGCCTTGACTCTTCAGACCAAGTTCCAGGAGACCCCGAACGCCTTCTCTGCTCTCTAGCACGGGCCTTGCCTTACCTGGCAACAGGACCTCGCCAAAGAGCATTCCGACTGTGGCTCCGCAAAGAAAGGCGCAAGCACATGGCGGGAAGATTGTCATGTGAGTCATGTCAGGTTGTGTTTGCCCGACCCCTCCATCACCTGCGAGATCTCTCGCTTCAAATTCCCTGTACCTGTAAGTGGTTGAGAGGTGGCGATCTGGGCGTCTTTGGCAAGGGGCGCATGCAGAAGGCTTTCGAGGACACAAACGCGAAGTATTCAGAGCGTCAGCAGTCGCAAGCGTCCTAAACCTTACGAACTGTTCTGCTGAAACCCTGCATCTGTCGTAATATGATTTCGGCTTAAGGACGAAGGCCCCCTGGAACCTGCAAAACGTAGGTCCCGGGGCGAACGCAGCCATGGCAGAAGGCAAGATGGACAAGGGAGACAAGGACAAGGACAAAGCGGAAGAGGAACCTTCCGGAGTTCAGCTTGTCCACCGGCACGTCTTCGGCTTCCGAAGTGGGGTGAAAGGCAACATGCATTTCACAGACGACGCGCACTTGCTGTATCCGGCCGGGCACAACACGATCTTGTACCATTCGGATCACAAGACGCAAATCAGAGTCTTTCCGGGTTCCGAGGGGTCGGAAGGCATTACGGCTTTGGCACTAAGCCCCAACCGGAAGTTCTTGGTGGCCTGCGAGAAGTTTCAGGAGAGGGCCATCAGCTACATCTACGACGTCACGACCGGCAAGCGCAGGCGTGGCCAGCTCTCATATGCAGACTGCGACGCAAGGGAATTCGTTTGCGCAGCTTTCTCCGCAGAGAACAAGTTTCTCATCACACAGGGTGGGCCTCCGGACTGGACTCTGATTCTCTGGTCTTGGGACAAGGCCAAAGCCCATGGCGCTGTGAAGGTTTCCAACCTGACAGGCTCGATGATCCATGAGTGCTCCTTCAACCCCCAAGACTCGTCGCTCGTGTGTGTCATCGGTGATGGTGTCTTTAAATTCTTCCGACTTCAAGACGGTACCTTCAAAGGGATTCCCAACCAGCTTTCGAAGATGAGGGAGGCTTTTAATCAGAACTACATGTGCCACACCTGGCTGAATGATGACCGCCTCATTGTCTGTAGTGAAGCTGGCGATGCCTTGCTCTTTGACAGTGGCGGGGAATTCAAGATGGTCCTTCCCAGCTCGCCGGCGGAGCCAAGGTCTCTTCTCTGCGTGGCCTCCTTCAGCCGAGGCTTCATCGCAGGAGGCGAAAAGGGTACCGTCACTTTTTACGAGCGAAGTGACGACGCCAAGGAGATGTTTCGCAAAGCCAAAGAGGTGAAGCTCGACTCTGCCACTGCGCTGGGATCGCTGGCAGTCGGTGCAGTCACAGCGATGGCCGTGAGTCCTTCCGAGGAGACGGTGGCCATTGCCACATCCACAAACCAGCTGCTGACTTTCTCTCTTAGCCCAACAGACATGCTCAAGGCAGAGGATAGCACTGTGGAACATGCACTGACGTCCTTCCACTCTGGGCCGATTTTCGGCCTAGATGTGTGCGTGCGGAAGCCACTAGCAGTGACGTGCGGAACCGACAAGTCCGTGCGTATTTGGAACTATGTGGACAAGACGCAGGAGCTGTGCAAGGTATTCAACGAGGAAGCATTCTCGGTTGCCTTTCATCCCAGTGGCTTCCACCTCATCGTGGGTTTTGCGGATAAAGTTCGTCTCATGAACCTCTTGATGGAGGATTTCAGGACGTACAAGGAGATTCCAATCAAGGCTTGTCGAGAGTGTCGCTTTAGCCACGGAGGGCAGTTCTTTGCGGCAGTGAACTCCAACACCATCCAGGTGTACAAGACCTACACTTGCGAGTTGGTTCTCAATTTGCGGGGTCACCAGAGTAAGGTCAAGGCAATATGCTGGACTGTGGACGACTTCCGCTTGGTCTCGACAGGGCAGGACGGTGCAACCTTTGAGTTCGATATCTTGAAAGAATCAACGAACAGAAAGCAAGATTGGTCGCAGAAAGGAACTAGCTTCACCAGCATCATCGCCTACAGCAATCCTGAAGCAACTGCTCAGAGCACCACGATCTACGTGGCAGGGTCGGACAAAATGCTCAAGGAGGTCCAGGACTCGCAGCTGACCAACTACGTGGAGTCCAATGCCGTTCTTGGACAGCTGGCTCTTGCACCCGCTGCCAAAGCTTTAGTCGCCGGCGTGGCAGAGCCTGACATGCCTGGCTCCCTGCGCTGCTACAAGTTCCCACTTACAGGAGACTACGTTGAGTACCAGGCCCATTCCGCTCCGGTATCTCGGATTCGCATCGCCTGGGATGAACTGTACCTCTTCAGCACTGGCGATGACGGCTGCCTGTGCATCTTCGATCTCAAGAAGCTTGGTGGCAAGCAGGAGAAGGATTCCAGCCTTGGCCTGGGCTATGCCGACGAGATTCTCGTGACAAGCCAGTTTCTTGAAGAAAAGCAGGCGGTTTTGTTGGACCTGGAGCGCAAGGTTGAAGAGCTCAAGGGCCGCATGGAGTACCAACTGCGGACACGCGATGGACTTCACAAAGAGAAGATGGCGGAAATGCAAGAGAAGTACGGTGAGGAAATCGAAACAGAGCGCCGAAAGTTCGAAGTGCTTCGAGAAGAGAAGGCGGAGGCGGAGATGGAGAATGAAGAGAAGATCAAGGACGAGGAAGAGAAGCATGCCAGAGACCTGCAAGAACAGCAAGAGTCCTTCGACCAAAAGATGATTGTGGAGGACCAGCGCTACAAGAAGCTCGAGAAAGACCTTGAACGGGAAAAGCAGGAATGGGCGACGCAGCATGCCGCCCTCCTGGCAGAACATGCTCAAGTCATCGAGCAGATCAAACAGGATGCCGAGAAGATCCAGAGGTCAAATCGGGACACCATGGACAGGATTATCAAAGAGAAGGAAGTGGCTTTCAAGCACCACCAGGAGACGCTAGCACAACTGGAGCGCGATGCAGATCGTGAAATCGAGGAACTCAAGGAAATGTATGAGCAGAAGCTGGCGCAGGAGAAGGACGACAAGGTGCGACTGCGCGGGCAAGCTGGGATCCATCAGAAGCACCACCACGACTTGAACACAGATATGATGAAGAAGCAGGATGAGGTCCAGAAGAAGGCGGATGAGAGCAAGAAGGCCGAAGAGAAGATTCTGGGCCTTGTGAAGGACAAGGACTCCAACGAAAAGGAGATCAAAGAGCGTGACAAGACCATCCACGACAAAGAGCAGCGAATCTTCGATCTAAAGAAGCAGAATCAGGAGTTGGAGAAATTCCGCTTCGTTTTGGACTACAAGATCCGAGAGCTGAAAGCCCAGATCGATCCCAAGACCGCAGACATCGCTTCCATGAAGACGCAGACGCAGGCCATGGAAGATGAGCTGAATGACTACAAGCGCAAGAACAAGCAGCTTGCGCTTCAAATCTCGCAGCTTCAGATGAAGCAGCGCGCGCTGCAGGAGGAGATCAAAGCGCAGAAGAGAAAGCTGCGGGACGATCTGTCGCTCATCAAGCGCTTCAAGTTGGACTTGAGTGACTGCCTTGAGACCATCTCTGAGCCCAAAGCATTGAAAGAGAGTGTCACAGCCCTCTACAGGAAATATGTCCAGGGCGGGGCAAAGCGACAAGATCTCGACACAGACATGCAGAAGGAGTACAACAGGCAGCGCGACTACCTCGAGAAGTCTGTCGATTCGCTGAAACGAAAGCTGGAGAAAGACAGCCAGGCCCATCGTATCGACAACATGCGAATAATGCAGGAGAACGTCTCGCTCATCCGAGAGATCAATGACCTACGGAGGGAGATCAACAACCTGAAGCACGAGCGGCAAGCTCAGGAGCTCGCAAACATGGGCCAGAGCATCCAGACCTCCAAGGCCGCGGATTTGGAACGTGAGCTGGACATGCAGCGAGAGGAGATCGCTTCACTTACGAAGCAGCTTAAAGACTACACGGGCTGAGCTGAAATGCAGCGAGGAGGGTTTGGAGTTGGTGCGCAATTGCACGAACGGGTTCACAGCTTTCAGGGTGTAGGCTGTGGGGCAACACGAGGTCATTATTTTTCATCAGGCTTTCCTCGCCCGTTTGCTTGGCATGTTTCACATCTCAATCGTCGAGCCTCCGTTTCACCCAACCCACAGGAGCCGTGAGTTAGGGTTGAACTGTCGCAGAGGCGGGGGCTGGCCTAATGTCGGGACAGCACAAAACCTGTAGCCGATGCTCATGACTAATGCGGCTGTTTGTGGGATGACGTGTCACCACAAAGCATCGCTCGAATGCCGTCAGCCCTGGAATTCAAAGACATACGAACAGGCCCAGTTCAAAAGAATCTGCGACCAATGGCCCCACCCACACACACACACACACAAACAAACAAACAAACAAACAAACAAGCACACAAACACACAAACAAACCAACAAACCCCAACAAACCAACAAACCAACAAACCAACCAACAAACAAACAACAAACAAGCAAGCAAGCAAGCAAGCAAACAAGCAAACAAGCACACAAACACACAATCACGCAAACACAAACACACAAACACACAAACACACAAACACACAAACACACAAACACACAAGCACACAAACACATAAACAAACAAACACACAAACACACACACACACAAAGACACACACA